CCTGATTTATCAGGTGGAATTTATTTTACATCAATAATGTTTTTTTTTTTTGTTTTTTTTTATTTTGTTTTTTGTTCGGGTAGTCTCTATCACGCATATATTGTCAGGACCCTACCGAAAACTCCGGTATAAGTTTTCGCTATCCGGGTTATGGAACCGGAAATCTATCTAGATTCTATCTGGACTCTGTCTGGAATTTCTGTTTTCCGAAATTATTCCTTTGTCTGCAATCTGGATTTCGGGTTTCCAGTAACAAATTTCCGGTTCCATACTCCGGCTAGTGAAAAGTTATACCGGATTTTTCAGTAGGGGAATGACAGACGATGAGGCCGGAGAAGACGAAATGTACTAAGTATTTAATGGGGGCGAACTTGCGGTAGAAACGAAAAAGAACGCACGTCGAGAAAACAGCAGCGGGCGTCGACGGCCGAAGTGGCAAGCGACGGTGCATCAGGGCAACACCTGGCTATAGTGAGAGAGAATCAGTGAATGAATCGCTATTACGGCGCTCGGCTCTTCATCTACGATGCTTGTCATTTTGAATATTTGACCTGGAATGTATGCGAAAGAGCTATGGCGAGGCTGACTAGGCAAGGTCATCCTGGCCTTCTCATCGTTTACGCTCAGGGTAAGAGTATAGAGGAATCCTTTAGATGAATGGGGAAGCGTATCTTCTCGATCATACATGCAGAAATACACCCCCCTTTAAAACCGGGTCGCCGCGATGCAACACAAAACATCCCAAAATAATTGTAAAAAATTTTATCTGGAACCAGAAATATCCAGACCTACCGAACGCAGAACGCCTTGAGTTGAACATCGTGAACCACCTGGGGTCGTTGTCGGCGTCGTGATGATGTTTGCATTCCGTCGGGCACCACTTCGTAGTTAAGCTTTTTGAAACGACGAAGTACCCTGTACGGTCCGAAGCACCGTTTCAACAGTTTTTCACTGAGGCCGATTCGACAAATGAGTGTCCACACCCGCCTCTGTCTCCGGGCTGGAAGTGAACGTCTCGACGACGAAGGCTGTAGCGGCTAGCATCGCCACGCTGCAGGTCTCGAATCCGGAGTTGGGAGAGCTGGCACACTTGTTCGGTCTGTTGAGCAACCACCCGGAAGTCGTCGCTTCTGTCGTCATTTGGCACATGGGGCAGCAGCGCATCCAGCATGGTCGTTACTTTCCTACCATGTACCAGCTGGAAAGGTGTAACCTCAGTCGTCTCTTGAACTGCCGTGTTGTAGGCAAAAGTGACGCAGGGTAAGACCTCGTCCCAGATCTTGTGCTACACGTCGACGTACATGGCGATCATTCCGCCAATGGTCTTGTTTAGCCGTTCACTCACCCGTTCGTCTGCGGATGGTATGCCGTCGTTTTTCGATGGCTGGTGGTGCTGAGCCGCAGGATATATTGAGATAGCTGTGCCAAAAAACGCACGTGCGCTTAAATCTGTGCGTCTGAGGGTAAAGCGGATCGGTTTTACAGTGTCGAAGATGGCAACTGTTGAAATAGAGGTATTGTTGTCTCCCGGTAGGTTTTCTGTAAAGTTTCGTACTTAATTTTATATTAGCGATTTCCAAACTTACATTCAAAAACTTCAAGTACATTTGTGATATATAGTGGGTAAAGTTTATCGATGGGTGAGCTAAATTGAAGGCGGCGATGAATTTCATGAGTTCGTCTTCAGTATCGGCCCAGATCATGAATGTCGTCGATGTATATTTGTAAAACAGCAATTAGTGGGGCTTTCGGTGAGAAAGATGTTTTCCAGTTCTGACATAAATATGTTGGCGTAATTTGGAGCCATCTTAGTTCCCATGGTGGTTCCGTTGGTCTGTAGGAAGTGCCCATTCGCAAATTCAAAGCTATTTTTTTCGAGCAACAGTTTCATCACAATCGAAAGGACGTCCTGCTCGATGGCAAGTCTGTGATGAGCGTGTTCATGCGCTTTGGTCACTGCCGTCATTCCGTCTTTCTGGGGTATATATGTATACAAGGAAGCCACATAAAGAGTTCCGTGAAAAGCGTTATCCGGAATGTTTAGTGGGTCAATTTTCTGCTGGAAATGGCTGGTGTCCTTAACTAAATCTATAGAGCAGCCCTTGTCTGCAGAGTTAAGATTTAAACCTTCCCTGGCACTGAGTCGTTTGAGGCACTCGTTCTCTGACCGAGAAAGGTTATATTCAGTCGGTCTTTGCATCTTCACAGCGGAAATAATTTCGCGTTGCGTAATTTCAATGTCATGTCGAGATTTTCTTTTTCATTTCTGTTGTGCGACCGTGGATAATCTCCACCTAACCATTTCCTCTCCCCTGTTTTTACTTTTTTTAGCTTTTTTGCTTGCTTTTGTTGTTCAGCACTCACAAGTTTTAGCTTCCCCTACCCTCTATGTGAACTAATATCTGATTTAAACAATGTTATTTCTATCTCCTGTTGCTCTTTACCCCATCAAATTTCTTATTAGGGGTATATAAACATTCACGGGCTCTACACTAGTTACCAATTGAAGAGCGGTCTTCACAGGAAACGTCGAATTAAACTTCTGATTAGTGACTTCGACAGTACGCATCTTTGACATGTATATATATATATATTTATTTATCTCTATACATATATAGAAAGAGAGAGAGAAATACAGGGTGTGTTTTTTTAGCTGCACCGAATTTTCAAAAAAATAGAACGTGAGTAATTTAATCCCTGGGGAAGTGTTAATGGCTATGGCGGCCTTTAGAAAAGGTGAAATTAGGTGATTAGTTAGCTAATTAACTAAAATATTTCAACAAACTTTTTAATTTTTCACTTGAGAGCACATAATGTATTGGAGGGTTGAAGAACGACCGCAATATGGTTTATACACGGCGACAATTTTTATTGGCATTTCTGTGGAGCCGAGGAGAGCGTGCGCTCAGCCTCAATAGGCGTTGAAAAGGGAAAGGGCACGCGTGCCCGCAACCTTTGGCTACATGGCCAAGAAACCTTGTCGCCGAGTATAGCCCTGCCATTATAGTTTGATTAAAAATTTGTAGTAGGTGCTACAGGGTCAAGAAATGTCGTTTTGGTGCACGGCGTGAAACCGAAACTAAGCGAGAAAGGACGCCGGTAAAGTTATCGCTCCTCCCTCCTGGCCCCCGTGGATAGTCGTTTTCGCAGCCAGCTTCACCTACCCGTATGAAAATGTCAGATCGGAGCGGTTCCAGTTCGGATCCGCGGGGTTCTAAACTTGTGGACAGTTCCGATCCGCGCGATTCTTGGTGTAACCAGACGTCAGTCTCCACCTTGGCTGCTTCAACGGTCCATAACTTGAGAACTAAAAATCCGACGACATTGCCGTTTGCGTCTTGTTTTATTATAGGAATTGCCCCAAAACATATATTTTTTCGTCAAAATTAAAATTTTGACCCAACATCCATGCCTGAGTTGAAATGAAATCACCCATGTACATGGTGTTTTTTTTTTTTTTTTTTTTTTTATTTGAAGCTTTAGAGATTTGTCTAAAAAAAACGTGAAAGTTACACTTATGCGGTTTGTGGAGGTGAGTTATACGGCCAGGAGGACATTATCTGGGTGCGTAACCTTTACCATAAGTCGCCTAATTGATTAAAAATTATAACTTTTTTGTGAAAAGATTTATGTGGTTCAAATTAGAAAACTTACTGAGTGTCACAGAAAACCACTAAATCAACTATTTTTATTACGACTTGAAGCTCGTGGGAAACTCGCGTGCGCGCCTGATACCACTCGTGAGGCTGGCGCAAAGATAGCAGTGGCGGAACACGATAATGATATAATACCACGTATGTATATACAATCTTGTGCAAATTTATTACATGTTTCTACTGGTTTTTTTTTTGTTGTTGTGGACAAGATAATCAAAATGATAACAATAACAGCCCTAAGTTATAGCTCTGTACCCAATGAATTTCTTTTAAAGGGGCCTTTCGACATTTTTTGTGTGAATGTGTCTTTTCTTTAATAGTATATTTTTCTTCATATGGTAGTTTTTAGAAATATATATTCACTATCCTTTTATCTTTATTTTTTATATCTCTATTTACATATGTACATATTTATATTTGTTTCTATTACTTGTCTTGAAAGAGCACTTTCGTAACTTTCCAATAGTGTATGCAATTAAATTAACTGAAACTTGCATTCCCTTTTTCTTATTGCAAAAAAAATATTTCGTATTTTTAGACATTTCATGATTGTATTTATTATGTCTCACTATGTCTTACTTCGAGGTTTTTCAAAGTTTTTTAGATTGTAGTTTTGGTGAATAGTGTTAGTGCACACTTTCTTAATCCGTAGGCTATCTAGTGGAGAAATTCTCGATCTCGGATGGCTGCATCAAGTGATTTTCTAATCCAATGAAAACCTATATCATCCATAACAAATACTTGCCAGGGAGAGCTTGTTTCGATAAAACTTTGGCTTTAAAAAAGGGTATAAATGTAAAAGCATAGTATTATGGTGACTGACAATTCTCGCCTCTCAATTCATATAATACAACTGCATCGTAGTTTGCTGTACTGTACTAACTTAGAATATACTTATATTCGTGAATACAATAATATTTTTATATACTATCTACCGAATATTCCACATCGCTTTTTTACTATCTTGATCATGGAACTATAATTTAACTCGAATTTTTCCTGAAAACCTGAAATTTAGGATAGCAGACAAAATAATAACTTCTAAACATCTGAAAATCAAATAGATTCCTTACAGATTTCCTGTTCCACACTCCAGATAGCGGGAAGTTATACTTCTTTTTTTTCTGTAGAAATAGGTTTACGAAATATTTCAATTATAATTTATGATGTGGTATACGTCTCCTTATAATATGAATAATTACAATTTTCTGGCACAGCTGCATTTGATTATACGTTTAAATTTGAACTTGAGATGTATTCAAAAATGTAGACAAAAGTTGTAAGATCCACATCTTAGTGCTTTTTTGAGTACGGATGGTAACGGTAATATTTATTGTTTTACAGTAAGTTATCAAGCTGCTGCTGGAAAGACAGACCAAGGCCAATTCAACCAAAATATCCAGCTGACTTTATGTTAGACAGAAATGTGGATATATGTGAAGCATCCTATGGAACCTCCTACAAAGAATACCCGGTGGTAATGTGTAAACTCTTGTTACCTCTATCGCGTACAAATGTTTAAGAATCGTTTTTTTTTCTTAAATCGCAACATAAGCATGCTGTACGCATTTTTAGGAACTCTCTTTAGAGTATTAAAATAATATACTGAAAGGTGCATAAACACTTAATTTTCAGAGGTCGGCCATTTGAAAAGCATAAATCGGAGATATACCAAATATAGCTACAATTGTGAAGAGCGTTGGTACGTTCTTATTTTATGGGATTCCCCTATATTTGTATATAGATTGGTGGTACAAAACAACACTCTGGCGGCAAGAAATTCAGGGAATATTCCACTTCCTCTCCTTGAAGCGGTGGCTTCCATCAAACCTGATAGAAACTTCGTTGTTGCTAGGGAAGTCTACATTTAATACTAATAATAATAATAATAATAAAATACTTTCACTTCCTGAGTTAAGCTTAAGCGGGAAGGGAGAGGGGCGCCAAAGGCAAAAAACAATTACCTGACGAGGCCTCACCAGCGTTGTGCCGTGCTTAGCAAAAACAAAGAACAAGAGAACCCAGAAAAAAATTAATAAATCGACAGAACACAACGATACATAACTAAAAACGTCTTACACAACAATGTCAGTTCACAAATTCAAAAATTCAGAAAGATTGAAAAATACCAGTTGAATAAAGCGCTTACTAAAAAAAGAAAAATAGAGTAGGTTACATGCGGCACTCTTGACTCTAAACAGGATACGACCCGATGACAAGGGTATAAACACGCACACCTCACAAACGCAAATACATATTTTCTCCCCACAACATGTTTATATCATACCTGTAACACGACCTTGACCGAGTTTGCGCCCATGCACACAGCTAACGCTACGCCCTCCATAACACAACCAACGCTGTCCTCTCACATGGCCTCCATTGAGTTTGCACATGTTCACAGAGCCAACGCCGCACGCCCTCCATTACACAGCCAATATTAGGCAACAGACACTTCTCTAACAAAAGCCTTGTCACGGTAAAGTAAATTCTCAATATTTTATACGCCATTTCCTTATCACACTTCTTACAGATCGAAACATATGCGCCGCAAAATCCAGTTCGACTGAAGGTCGGCTAATACGACTCCCTACAAAACGAAACATAATCGTCTATTTCAAAAACCTTTTTCTAAACTTCTCCTTTGCTCAATACAATAGTGTTCTCCCACACCGACAACAAATAGTTGCGCTCTTCTGAGTGCCTTGTTTTTCAGCGTTTCATGCATTATTCTTAGCCGCCATCTAGGGCTAGAGTAACCTTTGATTTAAACAGCGCTTTATTTTCTGGAAATATGAGAACCCAAGGGGTCATTGCATTGTCATGGACAATACGAAAATGACATTTTACGGAGACTTTTCTGCACCTTTTTAAACAATCATGGAGTCCCCTTGAAAGTGGCGACAACCTAATTAACTTGTAGTCTGTAGCAACCAGAGTGTCGAACCGATACTTTTATCGGTTTGGTTCGGGTTCACGGCTTTCGGTTCAGTTCCGGTTCAGTTCCGGGCGCAAAAAATAACGGTTCAAACCGGTTCGAACCGGTTCGAACCGGTTTGAACCGCTAAATTGAGAATATATTTTCCGCGTTGTTCTGTCAATAGGCACTATTTAGGCCGTGAAACTATACTGCTGTAAACGATCTGATTTTTGCGAGGACCTATTTTTGAGAATTTCGCGAATCGCCTACAATTCGCGAAAAATGGGTCCCGCGAACAATTTCGGTAAAATGTAAACACATCGAAATTTATATTGAGATTCCACCGCGTCAAGAAAATTACAACCCGCGAATTATTCCAAAACTTCAGCTTTTACCTGAATCGCGAAATATTGAGCCCACGAAAAAAAAGTCGTTTACAGTATATAGTTTTTTTTTTTTTTTATCGTTTGTTCAATCCAGTTTTATTTTCAGGTACCAAAACTATAAAATTCTGTTATTTATTCCTACACAACAAGACAGGAAAATCTACATTAACATACAAAACGTCGTGTTTATACGACTCAACATCCCTTCGTTTACCAGAGTCACATACATTGTACCTGAATCGAAATGTTTTCGCGAAGTGAAGTAGGTTGCCTAAAATACCCGTGATTGGTACAACTTTGTATCGCAGTATCAGATGTTGAATCGTGGTTTTGCCCTTGAACTAAGTAATTAATTACAGTGAATAAAATCATGAAATGGGCACCTCGTCGCCATTTATACCATAAAATGTGTTTTACGGAATACGTTTCACAATATATATATGATGACGAGACGACTGAGCTTAAGGCAATATAATTTTCAAAATGTCACGAAAGTCACGGGACAAGTCCTTCCAGTCTATATTTTATAGAAACACTAAGCGACAATCGCAGTGCTTGTTTTTCTAACTAGCATTGTTTGCTCTCAGCACCATGATGCGGGCGACGAATCATGCGAAAAGGAGTGGCTGAAATTGTTCACTCTAATCTATGAGCACCTTCGTACTGAGATCGAATCTGACCTAAAACAGTGCTTACCCATGTGAGCATTTTCTTATATTGGATAAATTGGCATAGCCTGGATATTAAGGTTTGCTCTTGACAAAATGCCGGTCAATTTAATTTGCAAATAAGCATCACCCTCGCTAATTGATGATTTTTGCTAAATAGAAAAAAGTGGTATTTCATGCTCTACTCAATTCGGAAGCTACTTAATTGGACACTTTCTGAGAGTTTAAGTCTGCAATCGTCATAGTTCCACCATTCGTTCCAGTAAAAAAAGGCGATAATAAAAACACACAAAAAACGCGATAATAAACTTCTATATATTTGAGAAGTTATATCTGCGTGAGGAACACATAGTTATTTAAATTAGTTTCAAAATAAAAAAAACATGATTTAAAGCTTTTCCAAATCACCTATAACGTGTCTATAAAGGATAAAAGCGCCGAAAAAGATTTGCAGAACATCTTTGAGATAATTTAAAGGTGCATTTACTTATATATCTTTGAGGTGAGGATCTTCTATTTATGCTGCCAAATCCTCAGACGGGAATCAAGTATATTTTTACTATCATCGATAAATTTGACTTTATGAAGTTCACATAACCGCCTGAGACCGACACGGAAGGACGATACTCGAAAATACGCCAGCTGTTGAGCCTTCGGCAACGTGCTTTTGTTAGCTGTTTTGCAGCGTAAAATACTGGGTTGCAGGGTATGCCAAAAAACACTGTGGTCACATGATATATCGGAAGGCAAATACACGAAATGCGCAGAAATAAGGAGATGACACGCAATTTTTTTCTAAATAATCCCTTACACAACGCAATTACTGCAAAAAGAAATGCATAGAAATGTATAAAATGATATTCCTAATTAAACATAGATTCCGCACAGGGCAAACGAAGATTTTTAGAATCCTAATATAAATGACTTTTGGGCATTAGCTTGCCTCAGCTAGAAACGTCGCGAGATGCTACCTCGGGAGGCTAATGTTATCTTAGGTTTTACGTGCACTTGTTTTGGGACCTTACTTCACGACTCTGTTCTTTATCAGTCATGTGCTCCAACATTAGATTAGGCTGCCGTATATCATCGCGAGACTGCTATAAATACTGCACAACTTTACACCTTGCACGTCTACTGCTGGTGTTGCGAACGTTGCACTTCACCAGAAAGCTGAAGTATTTAACATGGTTTGCACGTGACGTAATCGCACTAGATAGTGGTTGTCAATGCGAGTTGTTCTTGCTGAGAAAATCAAATCCGGTGGGGAAAAATGCACGCTGCAAAAGTTTCGCGCTCAGTGCAAGCTATGTATTTGAGAGGCACACATTTTTCTTGTTGGTGCATCGTCGTTAGGCACGGCGCGAGTATCTGGCACGACGAAAACGTGCTTTCTGGCAAGAGTGTATTTACTAATAAAAGTTGTACCAAATACCCATCTGTCACTATCGTTTCCAGGACACGCTTTCTAGTCTGCGTCGAAGATGCGGGGCAGAGGAATCTTTACGACACAGTATGCTTTAAAACTACCCCCCACCCCACTCCCTTTATTTTAGTTGCTCCTCAAGATACTTTTTATTCCTCAGGGATTGCCTGCTCCGTACTGAGTGGTGTTCCCTCGACAATTATATTTGTGTCACTTGTTAACAGTAATTCTTCCTTGCTTTTACTTCGCACCAAACTGTGAAAGTTAAACAAAATACAGGGCGGTCGAAACTTGGAGAACTTGAGAACGACACTCCTCTGAGACTTAGAGTGGCTGCCAACGTTCGGCTATCCCGTGAGGCCACTAGGATCATTCCTCTCAGGTATCCCTCCCGTACACACTAATAGTTCTATGTAACGTCGGACTAATACGTCACAGTTAGACCCTTTAACACTTCTATTCCCGGGACAACTTTCTGAGGCAGTTCAGCGATAACGAAAACATGTTTGGGAGCCTCAATGGTGCGAGTACATGTAAAAGGGGTCGTGCAGCATTTTTTTTTTTACCTTAAGTTCAATAAATACCGCTAAGATGTAATCCCTGACGTTGATAACTTGCAGAAGCATCCATTAGTTTGCCCCTCCGCGAAATGGCAGACTGTTGAAAGAAAGAAATGAAACAGATTTCCCCTCCTCAACTCGCAACTAGAACTACCAGCCAGTGTTGCGGAGTTGCCACTCCGGAGTTTGAATAATTCCGGAATCATTCCGCATTTTCACGACCCCGGAGTGGAATGGGAATGGAATGGCGGCAACATTGAGGGGAATGGAATGGGAATGAAATTAGGTGCCTTTTGCCCGGAATGGAATGGGAATGGAGTGGCCACGGTTCTTTTTTTCTTTCTTTTTAGTGTTTACGGTCAGCTAAACCGAGCCAGTCAGTGGGTCAGTTGCTCAGAAATAAAATGAGCGGGAAACTGCTAGCCCGCGAGGAGCCCTAACAGACTTATACGCCAAAAAAATGCAATTCAAAAGCAAAGCGTCAAAGCTAAGAGCAAAGGGGGAAAGGGGGTAGCCTGGC